CCCTCTCACTTTTTACCATCAAGAATTTCAAATGAGTATTGTATTTTTAAAGATTATGTAATGATGGAAAGTTTCCCATTGAAATGGTAAGTATGTAATATTATGTAATATTATGTAATAAATACCATAACAAGGACAATCTTCATTGTTTCTGACCACAATGATCCCAGCTGCCAGGAATGGATATGCAGCATGATGGTGTGTGAGTTTGTTTGAATAGGTACTGCCTGTCTATACTCTTTGTACTTTGCAGTGGGCCTGCTGTACCCAGTCAAACAAAATTACACAGGTAAAGACCTGTTGGAGTTTGTGTGATTGGGTACTGTTGCAGCAGGAGGTACTGTTGAAGTCTGTGGGATTGGGTACTGTGAGGTAAGAGTGTTTTTCCAAGGTGTTGAAGATTTTGTGATTGGGGAAGGTTAGGTCCAGCAACCCTTCGGTGGTTAGGGTTAATGTTAAAGCTTGTAATATCCCAGCAGTCCTGAATCCTGCAATTTTAGTACAGGAATTGGAGGAAAAATGTCCGGACAAATACATGTATGGGTAATTAACTTGCGTGTGGTACATGTACAGTGTTCTGTGACACAACAGCACACAAAGTTCATGAAATCTCCCTGTGAAAAATGTATACATGTACATACATGTACAAGGTGCAGAGGAGATTTCTCTGCTAAAGCCTACGCTGTACCTGTACATGTAGTTCAAGGGTCAACCTTCACTGAGCTTCAGCAACACAGGAAGGAAGCCTCCCATTTATTGACTGCATTTCCTCTACATTATTTTTCTTTGAGTGGAAGTGGACGGGCCTGGCCGGATCCCTGCAGACAGTTACGCCTACAATATATGTGCTTCTTCTGCTCATGAATGGAGTCCAGACTGCTCATGAATGGAATCCAGACTGCTCATGAATGGAATCTACATGTACTAGTAGACTGCTCACGAATGGAGTCCAGACTACTCAACAGTTAATAAGTGCATGCCGCCAAGGTCAAAGGGCAATCCAAAATGCCTGCACCTCTACAGGCACATGTTGGCAGACACAGCAGAGCCAAAGTTCAGAGCAACAGTCCTGTACATGAAGCTCATTACTTGGGTTTACATTATCCATTCTTCTCAGCCAAATCATTTTTCGTTCAGAGTAACAACATCTGGACAAAGGTCTAGACCTTTTTTCCTTCACAACTGGAAATTCTCTACCTGCATTCATGCACGTGAACAGGTGAACGTTGTACATGTACCATACATTTCAATTGGTTGATCATTTAACCTGGTGGCTCCTGAAATGGTTGCCCCAGATGGTGGTATACTCCCCAGGGAGTGCAGACAGTTCATAAGGATGTTTCTGGTCCCAAATAACTGGAATAATGTGGTACAAAGAGCACTGGCAATTCTGTCGATACTGAAATGTGCAATATACCGGTATATGTACATGTATTGTAAGCATGTCGTATATTATGGTACAAACATAGAAAATGACTCATTCCATTTCACTTGACTTATTTTTTACTCATTTACATGTATTTTTCCCCCCTTTTCCTTTAGTGAAGATGGTATAACATGTATTAGCACTTGTTACTCATGTGTTTTATACAAGTGACTCATGAGTTATTCATGTGTCGTACATCAGTTACTCATGAGTTACTCACGTGCTATACATGAACACCCCTTTGCAGATTTATCTCTTCGCAGTTTTAATCTCCTTCCCAAAATATTTCTCCTTGGAAAATCTTTTCACTTTAAGAAAGCAATGTACATGTACATTGTAAGATGTGACAACCCTACTTGTACTGAATGTGAGCAAATAAATCCAAAATGGTCTGCTTAAGAAATTCCAGCTGACACTTCTCTTTTGACAGAACAAAGAATTCACAAAGCAAGCGACAACAGGTCTTGGTTACTCGTACTGGGGCTTTGCTAGTACTATTAATGACAAATTTATGCACCTGAGGCTCTGAGAGTGACCCAGGGACTCGGCCAGTAGCTACTGGAGAAATGCCCTCATGACTGGCAAATGCATGGTGACGGTTTTGACAGAGCAGCTCAGCCTCGTGAGAGAAATGAAGCGGGCCGTGATTACTGCTGGGGCCCGGCTGCCGGCTTAACCCCACGCTCCAGTGGCCCCGTCTGATGCCCCCCTCCTTAACGTCAACAGACCAGGGGCTGGGAGCTTGTGTCAGACCCAGGGTAACAGGCAAATGGGATCATATTACTGCTTGTCACAACACGCATAAATTTCAAATGCCCCTCACCCCTTAGGCATGTCAGATATATGTGGATGTGCCCACGTACATCGTACTATTCCACAGAGAAGATGAATTTTTATGAACAGTGACAGAGACGGGCATGCACGCACACTCTCTTAAAGATTTAATACCTCATAAATAACACATACATGTACATGTGTAGACCCTGTACGTTAGTGTAATCCTACATGTAACATTCCACAACAGACACTATCATACATATACAGAAGTACATGAACAGGTGCGTGTACATTAATTGTGTACAGGTTACATTCCACAAGACACTATCATACATACATACATACATACATGTACATGTACATGTAAGTACATGTACAGGTGCAAGTACCAGTGCCCTTCAAATAATAGGACACATCGGTATCAAATACGGTACCTAACAACAAATGGCTTCTCTTAATTTAACCTTCCTGTTTAAGATCGGTGTTTGCACTGAATTAATGATTGACATCAAAATCAATGTTTAAGGGTAGCGTAATCCATCAGAGTTTTGCAGTAATATGCGTTTCATTATTTGATTTCATTTACTGTAGAATCCACTTTTAAAACTCAAGACTGTGTAGGCCTATTTAATGTAAATGTACATACATGTATGTACGCATACGCTGTACACATATGGGCACCGTAATTGCATATTAATTTCATAACAATACATGTGTCAAGTGTGAGCCGACCTTATCTGCGTATCCCATCTGCCCCGGTGCACACACAGGCTCAGCAATGAAATATGAGGTGGGAATACCCTAGTTCAATCGACGAGCCACGCTCTGAGCGGCTGTGCAATAACACAGCACGTGTGTGGGAACGAACACATGATAACTCCATCGTATCAAATGGCTCATCGGGCCAAGCTGTGCAGCTGATGTTGCGAGTTCAGCTACTTGTCTCGGCATCGCCGGGGTGCACCCAAGCACACACAATGCCAACAGGTGTTATGTAATGAGAGCCAAAGTCAAAATACTGTACTGACGTTATGTACAAGCGCATGCTAAGTACAGACATCATGATCATTAACATCATCATCAATGTACATGAAATCAATCTGTAATCACTCCTTTTATTTTTATTCTTAGGATCCCCAAAATAAAGAGTTCACTTGGCTTTCAATTCAACGTGGCAACATGTAAATAAGGTCAATTTCTTTTCATTAACAATCTCTTCATGAATGCATTTAGCAATTCAGTCGTGGCTTTCTTTATGCAAGTTGTCAGACTTTGCATACAAAACAAACGTAACTGTTTCCCAAAGGGTTTCGTGCAAATCTGTCTTGTCAGGCAGCATGGGAATGGACAATCAGATTCACTTTGCTAATTGCAATCTGCAGCTTTGCGTGTTAACGAGCCTTTGAAGTGAATTCACAGGCTACACGGTGGAAGATGCATGTACCTGACACTGATATTTAGATACATGTGCATGTAAATTTGCTTTGTTTGTGTACATGTAATTAGAAGGGCAAAATTCAAGTACTACGAAGGTTGATCTAAAAAATCACGTACAACTGTTAATGAGCCTTTGAAGTGAATTCACAGGCAACACGGTGGAAGATGCATGTACCTGACACCGATATTTAGATACATGTGCATGTAAATTTGCTTTGTTTGTGCAATTAGGACAAAATTCAAGCTCAGCAGCTGTACAAAACTTGCCCAGATATGCCATGTTTATGATCTAAAGTCTATCCCACCAGAAATCAAGATCTTAAAAGATTACCTTTAAATTTGGAGCGTATATTAGCCAGCTCCTTGTTGATTCGCTTGATCTCAGCTTCCTTGCTCTTGCCTAGGATGACGGGGAAAAATCAAACAAATTTTGAATAATTTGAATCCATCTTTACTATGAAGCAATAAGACGGGGTTGGTGTGCATCTGTGAGTACATTTCCAATCTTACTGAGGGATTTACCAGCCACTGCAGTAGCAGATCTTTACAGGCCAAAGATTTTGAGCAATACACTGTACACCTGTACCTTATTACAATGTATTTATAACTACCTTTGATAGTCTCCCTATTCACTAACGTGCAACTCGACAGTGTATTAACATTTGATAATGCTCGCTGAGAAGTGATGATGCCCGCTGCGTAAATCATATGCTGGCATCTGGATACGAGACAGTTTAATCGATTACTGATTGATCAAGAGTCTGTGTGCACGCGGCTCGCCACGCGCGCCCCAGTTGTACAATTTGCACAAGGAATTTTCCACAAAATGGATGGGGGTGTTCGGGAAAATGAAAGTAAATTCCAGAACAAAATCACTGGAAATCCATCATATGTGAATATTTACTTCTTTGGACTCTCTAAGAAGGTATTTATACATGGGAACAAATTTGTGCTTGGCCAGTCTTAAACTGTCTTTTACGATTGACTCAGGGGACTGACTGACTGCGGCTCGGGCATGAGTCCCGTCCATTCTCATGAGCCAGTCTACGCACATATTTATTCCCTTATTTAAAAAGGGAAGCTGGTGAGAGGGCTGCACACTGGACTTGTCTGAAGGGCGGAGTTCAATGAAACTTTTGGACAACTTATTGGATTGACCTGGAGGCACAACTGAAATAGTTATCATTTGTACAAAGGTGGTTTCTAATGTCTGCTATGAAAATGAGCATCTCCGTTGCAGATCTGTCAGATTCTGAGGTAATGGCTTGGTGGAAAATTTTTGCAATTGTGTAAGAAAACACAAGGTGCATTTCCAACAAAGAAAAGTGGAAGGGGAGAACTTTTTAAATGACAAATCCCACAAAAGCCCACACAGGTAGGGGTGTGACAGGATTTCTCTAGATTTTGTCGCATTTCTTCGGCAACCAAGTCCAACCGAAGGCCAAGAGTCTGAAGTCAAGACTAAACGCCACAGAGTTTACTGAAATGCTGTCAGTACAAAAGGTCAGAAACAGAAAAATCTCATAAACCATTCGGCCACTTTTACATTGTGAATGTGCGTGGTCCAACCCAATATCCAGACTAATTTCAGCTGGTTCCATCAAAACTAGCCCAGAAATGTGTTTGGTACATGTAAATTCTTCCACTCACCCTACACATGGCACATGTATGCTCACACGAGCCATTTTCTAACTTACATCTCACTCATTCCAATCATGCTGAACTCAGCTGTTGCATGACCTGTTTTTGATTCGCTATGATCAGAGATAACTGATTATTTCCTCAGCATTTCTACTTCTACCGACTTCTTGATGAGGTACTTTGGCAAAATCTTTGCGACACAAGTGAAAGTTAATTTCAAATAGCAAAGAAATTAAACGCGCTCATCTTTTGTGGAAAATGAGCGAGTTCAGTGTTTGACAAAAGGCAGAGCCATTCAACAACAGACTCAAACGTGTTCAGCTCTCCGATATGTCCAGCCACGCTGACCAGGTCAACCTAGCTGTTCTAGAATGATCCTTCGTCACACTTCGCTGTCGGCACACGCTGTTCGAATAAGTACTGAACTTGGCTTTTTACTACGGTACCACCTGCAGGGCAGGGCTTAATCTAACTCACAGTTTCTGATGTCCGATATGAAGACCGCCAGGCCCCGCATACCGTCTCCTTTGACCGTGGGCATGATGGCTCAGTACTGGCTAACCAGCGCAGGCAAACGAAGAGGCAAACTTGACAACCAAGGGTCTGTGGGCAGACAGAGAAGAGAAAAATTCTTGATGGCATCTTCTTTCCTCCCCAAAAATGTTCGAAATTTTAAAGGTTTCAAGAGTGTGATGAGAAAGTAGAGAAGCTTTTCTACCGCTGCATACACGAGCCTGTTCACGATTGTAGTGCTGAGAACATGTTACACCATCTTATATACACGAATCCACAGTCAGAGAGTCTTACATGTTACATGACACTGGCTATCAAGGCATGCCACAACGCCTGACTTCCTTCTCATTCCTCATGTTAACCCTCCTTTGGTTTTACAGCACAAATATGCACAAGTGCCCACAGTCACTCT